TCTGTGCACGGAGCACAAACCACAGCTGCTATATCCATATCTATCCATGTATCCTGTACAGGTATTTTTCAGCTGGGATGAGAGTGAGGAAATGAAATGCCCGGCCAGTCAAGTGCAGCTGGTGCGGTATTGGAAAGGGACAATTAAGTACAGGCATCTTTATAGGTGAGCTCTTTATGGCACTGCTTTTCCAGGAGCATCATGGATGCTAAAATACGGAAAAACCATCATGGACCAGTGCCCCAGGGCAAGTTGAGTGTCTGGAGATTGCTCCTTTTGGGTCAGCCCCTAGGATGGCTGAATGCAACTGCATCCCATCACTGCAGCATTGGAGTCGTTATGTCAATTAACACCCATTTACCATGCTGGAATGGTAGGAAATACTCAAATTAGTGGAGACACCAGCTTGTAACTATTAGAAGACTTGCTACTAGAGCTATGGTTTTTTTATAGTAGCTTTTTACGTGGTCTTGAGAGAAATTTCAGATTCTCTGACAAAATGGATCTGATTACACTGCTCTGGCTTTTGGCTTGCAGGTAAATAAATCTTCACTTATACTCTGGGTACTACTCTCATAGTGATGAGCAACGGGTTCAGTAGCATCTGAATGGAGCTGGTTGAAAAATACGCTTTGTTTCGTGTTAAATATTTAGTTACGGTTTTATTTTGAGGGAGGGAGGGGTGTGAATTAGGTAGAACACCTCTTCTCTGAAAACTCAGTTATTTGCGTTCTGTGGCAGAAAGGCTATAATTTCAGTTTTTGCTGATGCTTATAGAAAAACCCCAAACAAACCAACAAAAAACCATGTGCTCAGTCAAAAAGCTTTTACGTGTTTTGGAGATGAGGAGTGTGAGGCCCTGTTATTAAGCCGAACCTTATTTCCGTCTCCTCCAGCTTTGGAGCGGGGCTAAAAGGGAACACTCCTAGCAGCGCTGTATCCGCTCTGTTCTGGGACAGATGCTTGTCGAGCAGACAAAGCCCTTGATCTTGAGATGTCTCTGTCTGGCCCTAGAGCAGCGCCCACGCTTGAACGGGGCTCACCGCATGCTCAGATCTAATCAGCTGCCTTTTCCTGGACAGTGTAGAGGCAGGGGAGAGAGGATGTATGGCCACAGATGTACTCCACGTGTTTGATTTGTCTGGGAGGTGGGAGGAACAGGGGAAGGTAGCAGACAGTCTTATTTGCAGGTCAAATCCAAAGGTTTTTATGCTGATTTAAAGGGCATTTTGCCTAAGTAAGAAATTAATAGGGACTTAGAGGTTTGCCTTTGGGTTTGTGTTTACCTAGTAGTCGTCATGGGAACTTGGTATGTGGAGGTTACGTGTTAGCAGCCATCACTGTGTTATGTCGCCTCTTGACTCTGTTTCTTGTTGTGAATGCCTCCTTTTGAAAGCATCCTTGCCATTAGAGTCATGTAAACAGCTGTGTAGAAAATGCTAAATTATAAGTCATCGGTGTGGCCTTTCCAGCTTCCTACCTCGCTCCAGGTCCACAGCAGAGAAACCATCAGTCTGCTGAGTTTAGTGGATGTATCTGTGGGAAAACTCGTGCCTTGTTTACGCAGCCTTGCTGACCTAGAGCTGCAGAGGGGGTTTCGACTCTTCCATCCTCTGCCGTGCGAATGTTAAAACTGTTACCTCAATATTTTATTAACAGCAGTTTTAAAATTTAATAGTTTTATTCTGTGTTGTAAAGCATTTTTTGCACCGGTTCCCAAGGCAGGGATGACAGTAAGAATGCTTGACTGTGTTTTTCAGATTGGTTAGGCTAATGCTCTTCATGTTAATGAGCACATATTAAGATCTCATTAGACAGTGTGTCTGTGGGCAAAGTTCCTGTTGATCCCACTGGGGTGTTTTATACATGTCAGAGTTGCGGGATCAGGTCATTACTGTATCATTTTAGAAAATTATTGTGACCTCCACTTAACATTAAAATGTTTGTCAAAGCAAGTGAAGAACAGTGAAGAAACAGCTCTCTGAATGCTGAGATTTTAGTTTACAGCCCATAATCTGAGTTTGGAGGCCCAAACTCAGAGGCTGCCCTTAGAGAGAGGCTGGTTTTGAAATAATTTGCAATTAGTTTGAGGAATAATAATAAAATTACCCTCTGCCTAGAATCAAATTCAAAACTTAAGAAGGGCTGGCGAGGTCCTGAAGGGTGTTGAAGAAGGGCTAGCAATAGAAACCGTCACGGCATCACAGAAGGTAGACAGCTAGTGCTAATTACAGAAGGTGGTTGTCCCACGGAGAGGAAGGTTGGTGGTAGCAGTGATTTATTTCTGAGGGCAGTTTAGTCATTGTGCTATTCCTAGACAAGGCTCTGAATTTAAGTGACACTTAGGCTCTTAAGTCATTTTTGAAACCAAATTTAGGCGCTTGAGTCACGTAGGTGTTTTTTTTGTCCCCCTGTCTTTCTGTCAGCCGTTTCTGCGTGGCTGATCTTGGGAGGCACAGCACCCACTGGCTGCTGTACGGTTCAGTAGGAGCTGGGAGCTGGAGGAGTCAAGAGGTTGGTGGGCACATGCCAGCAGTTGCAGTACAGAAAAGGATGATCTGATGTGCCTGGGGTGTTTCTGGAGCTGCTGTGCTTGTGCAGTTGGTCTCTGTGTGCACCTTGTGTCAGAGGCACCTGGAACGTGTCATCTTTGCTGTGCAAGTGCACACATCTACCTTGCAGCCCAGAGATCTTGGGCTTGCTGCTCATCGTCCCGCTGCACATATTCACTGGCCTTTTCTCAGGGAATGTCCCAGCATCCTGCAGCCAGAGATGTGGTAAAATACCATGGAGAACAAGAGGGAAGCCACAATGACAAAGACAACCTCAGTCTTCCCTGTGACCCTGAGCTATGCAGGCAGCAAAGCATTTTTATGAGCCTCCAAAGCCGGGGCTGGGGCTGGGGCTCACTAACAGCCCTCACTGGGTCTGGGGTCCCTGTGATCTCTGGGGGACCAGTCAGGCACCAGGGCTAGGATAGACAGGCAGAGAAGTAGGCATTGGAGAGAGAAGATAAGTAGGCTAATGTGGGAGCATCTGCCTCTACTGAATTAGTCCAGGTAGCATGAAGAAGTGTATTGGTTTTTCATATCACGGGTGTCAGATAGGGATTTGTGATCCTGATACTGCATAATCGATTCTCTCCCCTCTGCTGTGCTTTGTCAGGAGTGGTTTTGTTCATTTGCAGTCCTTGTTCACGCTTTCCTTCCTGTTTCGCTTGCCTTCATAGATTTTTATCTGAAAGTTGAAACCGTTTTTGTTGATGTTGGGAAGATTGCACCCGCTTTTTTGCAAAGAGGCGAGCGACACAACACGATGATAAAATAGCCATTTGAGATGCATTTGTTAATGCTGATAACATTAAAAATGTTGTCTGGAATATTTACAGTGCGAGGGAGAGGGGAGCGAGCTCCTTGAGTTGTTCTTCTCTTTGAAGGGTAGGCATCTGCTCCACACTGGCTGGCTGGGCACCCTCTTGAGACCATCGAGAGAGATAGGAAATGACAAAATCCCTCCTGGAGATGTGTGTCTCAAGTGCATCTTTTGGGTCAGAACAGGGGTAGGACAGGAAGGATTGTCCGCTGGAAGTGACTGCCTCTTTCCTCTGACTACGAAGGGAGCCTAAGTGACTTAATTGAACTTACTGCCCAAGATTCAGACAGTTACAGTAGGGGAAATGAATCCCAGACCTACTGATTTGGCAGTTCAAACCTCAATGAAGTTAGCAGGAGTTAAGGCTCTTGAACCTTCCAAGTGCTGTAGATAATGCCGCTATTAAATTTGATGTTTCCTGTGAGATACTTGGCTGTGTCTGGACTCACAAATGTGATTTGTCAGCTAAGCCCGAGACCAAATTCTTCCAGAGGCCTGCTATAAAGGAAAGGAAATAGTGTGATCCATGACAGCGTGAGGGGTTCAGAATCCAATTTGGAGTGGTGCAAGCCCTACAGCAATGAGGTCCATAAGTAATAGAAGGCGTTATTAGGCAGTGATATGCCAAATCTACCTCATAAGTTGACCAGCTCCTTTGTTTGTGCGTGGTATTTTAGGTTAGCGCTGACTTTCACTTTTCACTTTAGAGAGTATTTGAAAGGATATCAATTTCTTAGGGATGCAGAGGGAATGTTGGAGGGCACATGCATTTTTCTCTGTTGTCTGGGTTCACGAACGCAGCTTTTTATAACTGTGGTATTTCTGTGGGTTTCCGTGACCGTTTCAAAGCGGGGTTATTGATGTAAAATGCGATCGTCCAGATCACAATAGAAAGATGGCTGAAAAACGGCCTTTGGCACTTTGCTGAGCGTGTGAGTCCTCTGTCCTCTTTCTGGACTGACATCTTTACCTCCTAACGTGGAAGCCCTGTGCCTCAGGAGCTTAGGGGAGTCAAGCCCTAGGACCCTTCTAGAGACTCTGCAGCCTATTAGGAGGGTCTGGCTGTGGGGACAGTTTGGCCACTCAGGTACTCAATAATTCATAACTGAATTATGTCCTACAAATGGCTTTCATTTGGAGATTGCTCACCGGCCTTAAATGGTATTTCTTGTGTCACTAGAGATTCTTCAACTTGTCTTATACCCTGGGTGGTGAGACAGGGGAGCCTTCAGGTTTGGTTTCTTGTGCCGAGTTGAAGTGCTATGTGCTGGGGAACACCATGGCATCATTAGGTGAGTGGCAGCTGAGCACTCAGTACTCCTGTTACACATGTTGTAGGTCAAGAGGGGGCTATTATACGTGTACGCTTTTCCTCTGAGTTACTTTTCCAGCAATTGATCTTCATCTGCTGGGCATGTAAATGCTGCAGTTTGTTAGAGTCCCTGCTAAATACCTTCTTCAGAGTGGCAGAGAGACAACCCATGCATCTCTACCAGTGCTCTTCAGTGGTGAGACACTGAAGTGCGTTTGGGTAAATGTTGCATCTTCCTTTTCTCTCATGCTTCCCTCCCCCCTCTCTGTTTTGTTTGTTTCAGGTTCTCGGCCTTTTTGGATCTGCACAGTGGAAGTTGCATCTTGTGTATGGCGTGGTTAAGCTTGCAGCCTGTCACCTCGGCCTTCCTCCATTTTGGGCTGGTTACTTTTGTGCTGTTTTTGCATGGTTTGCAGGTGGACGCTGGCCTGACGGGAGACTCAACCAGTTCAGTACAAAACAGCTCGTGTTCAGGATCTTTTGACTGCAAGGAAGGCGTTATCCTGCCAATATGGTACCCAGAAAACCCATCCCTTGGGGACAAAATTGCCCGTGTTATCGTATACTTTGTAGCACTGATCTACATGTTCCTTGGAGTCTCCATAATTGCAGATCGTTTCATGGCATCTATAGAGGTCATTACATCGCAAGAGAAAGAAATCACGATTAAGAAACCCAATGGAGAGACCACGACGACCACCATTCGGATTTGGAATGAAACCGTTTCCAACTTGACCCTCATGGCTCTAGGCTCCTCTGCTCCTGAGATCCTTCTGTCTCTGATAGAAGTGTGTGGGCATGGATTCATAGCTGGAGACCTGGGGCCGTCTACAATTGTTGGCAGCGCTGCTTTCAATATGTTTATCATCATTGCCATCTGTGTCTACGTGATCCCTGATGGGGAAACCAGAAAGATAAAACACCTGAGGGTTTTCTTTGTCACAGCTGCGTGGAGCATCTTTGCTTACATCTGGTTGTACATGATCCTTGCTGTCTTCTCTCCAGGTGTGGTTCAGGTCTGGGAAGGCCTGCTCACGCTTTTCTTCTTTCCACTTTGTGTCCTCCTGGCTTGGATAGCAGACAGACGTCTGCTTTTCTATAAGTATATGCACAAAAAGTACCGTACGGACAAGCACAGGGGCATTATCATCGAATCAGAAGGTGATCACCCTAAGGGCATTGAGATGGATGGCAAGATGATGAACTCCCACTTTCTGGATGGAAACTTAGTGACTGTGGAGGGGAAAGAGGTAGATGAATCTCGCAAAGAGATGATCCGGATCCTTAAGGACCTGAAACAAAAGCACCCAGAAAAGGACTTGGATCAGCTGGTAGAAATGGCTAACTACTACGCCTTGTCTCATCAGCAAAAGAGCAGAGCTTTTTATCGCATTCAAGCTACCAGGATGATGACGGGAGCTGGCAATATTCTGAAGAAGCACGCAGCCGAGCAAGCCAAGAAGAGCACCAGCCTGCATGACGTGCGGCCAGATGAACCCGAGGAATTCATCTCCAAAATTTATTTTGACCCATGCTCCTACCAATGTCTTGAGAACTGTGGTGCCGTTCTCCTGACAGTGGTGCGGAAAGGAGGGGACGTGTCCAAGACCATCTATGTGGACTATAAAACAGAGGATGGCTCTGCCAATGCTGGTGCTGACTATGAGTTCACAGAGGGGACTGTTGTCTTGAAATCAGGGGAGACCCAAAAGGAGTTCTCAGTAGGAATTATTGATGATGACATCTTTGAGGAAGATGAGCATTTCTTTGTGCGGCTCAGTAACCTCCGTGTGGTGGAGAGTGAGGAACCTCCAGAGCTCGGTAACTGCCCGTACCCAAAGGCCATATTGGCTTCTCCTTGTGTGGCCACAGTGACTATACTGGATGATGACCATGCTGGCATCTTCACATTTGAGTGTGACGTTATACATGTCAGTGAGAGCATTGGTGTGATGGAAGTCAAAGTCCTAAGGACATCAGGTGCTCGGGGTACAGTCATAGTGCCATTTAGGACAGTGGAAGGGACAGCGAAAGGAGGCGGAGAAGACTTTGAAGACACTTACGGGGAGTTGGAGTTCAAGAATGATGAAACTGTGTAAGTAACCCATTTGTTTCTGTTCCTGGGTCTAGTTTTGGTGGTTAACCCCACATTTTGTCTCCGTTACAGGTGAATGCTGACAAGGGACAGGCTCCTTTCCTCAGCTTTCCCTCAGTTTCCCAACTCACCTCTTTCAGGCAAGAACCGACAGCAGGATTTAAGAGCTCAAAGCTCTTGTTCATTCCCTCTTGGGAATAGCAAAGTGAGGCTTAGAAATACTGCAGGGGAAGATAGGAGGAAAATATATCATTCTCTGAGGCCTTGTGCTGAAGCTAAGGGTTAATGGAGAGTCGAGGTAGACAGAGAAGAAAAAGGGTGAGCTTTTACCTGGCTGGGCAAATACGGGAAAGCCTCTTTTTGAACACCATACATAGAAGGCTCAGAAGTTTATTTCTGTCCCTAGATGAAAAGTTGACAACAGGTACTCCCAGACAAGCAAGAGCTGCTCGATAGACATGGATGGGGCTTTACTTTCATAGGAGCAACAGAGCATATCTGTGACCCTGGGCTGCCTGTGCAACTTGCAGGTCCATGTGGCAGCTAATTCGCAGCACAGGCACAGCTGCAGGCTGTTCTGCTGGATTTGTGGAATCCTTCCAGCCTTTATGTCCCTACAGTCTACCCAGATTCCCCACATCATCTTCTATGTGATGTCCCTATGTCTGTTCTTTGACCACCTGTGGTTTTTCCCCTTGTAAAATACCGTGGCAATTGGCAATAATGGTCGACAGCACTGCAGCTCCCAGCCTGTCCATGTGGCTCCGTGACCCAGTGTTTTCATACAGGATAGAGAAGGGAAGCAGAATAAGTCTGCACCAGTCCTGTTAATTCAGCTCTTTTATTGCATACAAAGTAGCTGATACGAAGCTAGGAAGCAATAAAGACCAGAGAGGCGATAATGTCTAATTGCTTTAAGTACCTGCTGTTAACATTAGCGGGGAATGAGAAAAACCCCTTAGCTGAGGAGGGTGTGAACCTGGTGCTAAAACCCCCCTAGTGTTAAGTGCCTAGGTTCCTCTTGTTAACACCTAATCACTCGAGCCATCAAAGGAAGAACTGTGCAGACTTGCAACTGGCATCAGAGAAAGGAACTCTGTACCAAGCTTCCTAATATAGTACCCGAAAGGATGTTAATATATTAAATGCTATGGAGTAGGGATGCCCTAATTCAATGGCACCTTCTGCCTTAGCCCACTAAACCATTTAATCCAGCTAATATCCACGTTTCTGATGCTTGATTGTAAGTACGTGTTCTTCCTATTAAAGGAAGAGTAGCTCCTGGTTGGCTGGGTTCAGCCACCATCAGAGATAGAAGGGGATCAGCTGTCCTCATCTGGCCTTTTCAGGGAGATGAGCCATGCAGGTTTGTCTCCTTAATTGAGCCGCAAGCTGATTTGTCTAGAGAAAGTGAAGAAAAATGCCAGCCATGTGGTTGCAGTCTCCTGTGAGTAGTTTACCTAAAATACGATGAGTACTACCTTGCTGCAGCCAGGTCTTGTAGAAAAGAGACCTTTCTTGCTTGAAAAAGACCCATCAGTGAAAGGCCAGCACATTTGGGGTACCAGATGATAAGCCTTAAGCCGTCTTACTCCAAACTGTACTCCTTTTCTCTCATCTTCCTGC